TACTTTGTTTTTCAGTTTCATGCTTTCAGACTGTTCTTTGTGTTTCCATATTTGTAGAAACTTAACCTCTTATTTCTAGACTGGCGATACTCTGGAGTTTGCCTTGGCACTTGTGCCAAATGTTTAACAAGCAGGCATTAAAAATGCAGCATGGCATTGGCAGCCCTCGGTGCCCTACGCTGACCTCTCTTGCCAGTTGTCTGAGATGAGTTACCAGACATTTGTCACAAATTATATTTAGTGGTTGTATACAAACAACAGAGAAGTTCCAATTTACTGTAAGAACAAGCATAATTTTATAGTTTAAAGCTGAGATCTAGGCAGTCTTCATTTTTGTTGCTCCCAAATGAGAAACGTAGCACACTTGCTTCTGTGTTTTTCTTTTTGATGAAGGAATAGTAGCATGTGCCTAAGTTGGGTGGCTGTGACTAGTTGGCAGCTCAGTCTCTTAAATACTTCAGATAATTTTAAAGAAGTGTGTATATAAAGTCCAAAAAATGAAAGTGAAGCTTATGCCACTTTCTATACAGACTACGTAAAAACTGAGTTGGCCTTTTGCTGCAATAGCAAATTTTTCCTATGCACCAAAAATAAAGGGTTTGTTTTGCATTTTGAATGTGGTTTTCTTTATGCTGCATTTGGATTTTTATAAAATCCACCAGCTCTCAAATGAAGACCATTTCAGGCTTTGGGAGGCACATTTTTATAAACATATTTTTTATGCTATCAGTCACGCTTACTATTGCTATTTAATTAAGTTGGTTCAGAGCCAGATACTCTTAGCAGTTCAAATTTTTCTATCTTGGCCTCCTGGTTTGTTTTTTTTTTTTTTTTCCTTACTCTGTTGGGAGTACAAGTGTCAATAAGTATTTAGGAAGTGTTAAAGCTTGCATAATTATTTTTTTCTATTTTTTATATACCTGTATTGTTCAAACAACAATGTGAAATACCTCTGCATTTCTGTAATGCTGTGATCTTTGAGACAGAGAGAGGAAAAAAGCCCTTTTAGGAATACACGGGGAAAAAATTCCTCTGAGAAGAAAAGCAGTCAACAAAATCCCATCAGTTACAAGTTTTAACCCTAATGCATTTCAAAGCAGTATTTGTTAGACTAGATAAAATACAGAAAGCAAAAAAAAAAAAAAATCCAAGTTCAATTACTGAGTTAGTCTTGATGTAAAAAGCCTTCTGAGCTTGTCCAGCTGCACAGGAACCCTTCTTTGTCATCACATCAACTTTTTCTGTACACTGAGCACTGTGTGGAAACATCAGCGTTACCATTACTGTGGTGTTTGTCTGTTTGTGATTACTTTCTCTGCTCAGATCTTCACAGGCTGCAGCAGTGTGTTCTTGCCCACACTTTCTGTCACTGTAGCTGTCATCTTGTGCCCACAGCTAATGCTTTGCCTGATATTTTAAATACATTTGGTGTGCAGAGTACCCTTTAATATTTAGGATTATTCAAGCAGAACGCTGCTGTTAAGGTATTTTGTCTCCTTACACTTGGTATTTTTGTGTGAGATTGTAATTTTTTTTTTTTTCCACATGCATCTCTTCTTCCTTATTAATCACAGGGGCCTCTTTCTCTTACTAAGCAATCCTGGTAATGCCAGGTGCTGCATCCTCCAGGTTCTTCTACAGCTAGTTGACAAATTATAACCAGAAACCATCACAAAACACAAGTAAAATACCCAGCACGCTTGAAAATCCTTCTTAGAAGGAGGTAGAGGCAATATAACACGGGCTATCCCTCCGTGCAGAGGAGTATTTGACCTTCCTGACATTAATAGCTGCCTGGCAGAGTCTCCATCGAGGATCTGGGATTGAGCTGCCTGACAGCTGGATGGAGCTTGAGCTGCAGCTTGGGCAGCCTGCGTGTGCTGTTAGACTGAAGTGCGAGAGAGGAACAGGCCGCTTCTAACGGTGGTCCTGGTTATACCTGGAGCTGGCAGTAAGCTTTGAGTCTGCCAACAGTATCAGTGGGCCCTGTGGATCACAGATCATTTAACTCCATACACAATTTCCTTGTTATTTCCTTGTTATCAAAGGAAATTATATTTGATAACTTATTTGATAACTTTCCAAGAAGAAAATGTTGTCTGAATCCATACGTGATTTTCTTGTGATCCTGAAGTTCATTGCTTTAAAAAAAAATTAAAAGGGAGATGCCTTTGAGAGGATATAGTTCAAAGGCACAACAGTGCCTTTTGAAGGGGAGCGCCTGTGGTGGCTGGAAAAGATTCCAGGGACTGCCGGGGGGCATCTTAAAGACTGAGATAAGTTTAGCCCTTCTCCCTAGGGCGTGAATTTGGGCCAGAGAAGTTGGTTTCAGCAGAGAGCGGCTAGGAAGTAGGCAGTCTGGGAATGAGGTGGTCGCTCAGGACTGTGGAAGAGCATGTGTATCTGACAAAGAGCAATTCTGTTGGTTTAACCAAATTCAGTTTAATAATTTTGTGCACAGGTGGTGTTCAGACGTGGCCTCAACAAGTGCAGAACTACACTGGGTTTAACTGTATCAGCTCAGTCAGCTGTTCAGCTTAAGCTGACTTTGCTTGAGGTGAACTGGACTTCTTAATGCAGTTTCTCTTTATGAATATTGAATGTTATAGGATCTTACTTAGCAGAAAGCCTTGACTTTCTGACCCAGCTGTCAGCCTTATAAAGGAATCTGAGGTACAGATCTATTTTTTTCTTCTCCCCCTTTTGAGGAGCACTTCCTTCAGAGGCCTACAGCAAATTCTCAGTTTCTTCTGAATCAGCAGTCCTACTTTTTTCAAGAAGGTAGAAGAGCAATCATTTTGAAGGCTCCATTTCCTACTTTTTGGAGAACTGACACATGTACTCTGCTGTCTAGTGGTGTTACAGTATTCTGGGGCATAGTGGGCAGAGTACAATTAATCTACAGGTACTTCTTCTGTTCCTCTCTGAAGTCGCATATTATGTAGATTCAGTGGGGACAAGCAGAAGGGAAGGAGCCTTCTCTTTCACTTCATTTCCAAGCAAGCTTAAAAGTTACACGGTATATGGTATCGTTTTCAAGAATTAAAAGTATTTGTACCAAAATTTCCTTATTGCTAAATAACAGTGCTTGCTAAAGCTCACAAAGATGCTGCTGACAACGTGATAAAGGTTCTGCTTGTTTGCAGCTTCTATACGGCATCTGAAGTGGCTCTTTTCCTTCATTGTGTTGCTGTACTTGCAATGTATTTGGCACTCAAAGGGAAGATAATGTGTAAAGTAATTAAAAAAGATAGCAGACCATGTATAGTAATATTTTAATTGAAAATATGTATTCCATTAAGAGGATTAAGCTTTACTTCATACCAAATTATCATCTTACTTAAGTTTCTCTGAGGACTTCCTTTTAAGCAAAAATGAAGGGGGGAAAAAAGGTGGTTCCTTTTGGGATAAAAAGTCCCAAAGACTGCCTGTTGGCATGAAGGTGTATTTCTGAGGAGATGTCCTTCAGATTCCCCTGTCTGTTAGTGTGATGCTTCCTTGAGAATTCTGAAAACATCTTGACTCTGAAGAAATCAATCTTAAGTCCTTGAAAAACATATATTCTGAATATTTACAAAAAATAGGCTTTTTGCATTTGACTTGAGTCAGGCCCTTTTCCTTTTGGGTCAGATGTTTTACCCGTATACATGTTATCCTTTCATTAAACAGGTAATCTTTTGCGTGATGAGGACTGATGCTGCTAAAAGTATAGCTGGAATCACATAGGTTTATTTTTATGCATTATAGATGGCTTTGCAGAGCACAGAGACAGACATCTAGGAGAAAAGAAAGAAATAAAGATTGGTTCACATTATCTTCTAACTGTGTGTTCTTGGATGTAAAGGACAGTGCAATTGCGGTTGTTTGTCAGCAGCAGAGTACTGCTCTGAATGCCATGTGCTCTGTTCTTAGTCTTGCCCTCCACAGCTGCCTGCTGGAGATAGTCTGGGTTAGGGCTTTCGTGAGCTTGCACCCAAACCATCCACAAATTAAAACACATCACTTATTGGACATGGTAGACAATCACTAAGAGATGCTTCCTCTCTTTCAGTTGTTTGGTTTAGTTGGGCAAAATGGGCATATAATAAACAGATTGAATTTTAGTGTCAAAACGTTCTACAACCACGTCAGAAAAATGCTCTGCAAGGACTGACGCAGTTGCTTTGCCTGGCCATGGAATGAACTAGAATCTGAGAAATCACTGGGCAGAAACCAACCATTCTGCCAGATGAATTTTCAGATGGACCGATTCATTGTGCTGCTACACGAGTGTGTGTTGGCATAGCAGGAGGAGCATGCCTAGGATGGCTTTGTGGAATGTCTCTGGGGTTGGGTTGGGGTTTTTTCCCCATAGCTATGCTGTTTATCAGGCATTTGTTTAAGTGCAGTTTTGTTGTAGGCCTACCACTACTGTTGCAGTGTCTAAAATGGAAGTGTACGCTATTTAAAAAAAGAGGCGGGGGAAGTTCACCAGTTGGCTGCTCAGAACAATCCAGCCCTGGAAAAATAGCTCATCTCCCACATCCATGTATACACATTATTCTGGCCAGTTATTTCAAAGAAATTTAGGATACTTCTTAGTAAATCATATTCTTACCAAATATATATGGTTCTATAAGTATATAAGTAGGCAGTCTTCTCCACAGCACTGTCCTTTTTATATTGGACCTGTGGGCTTTAGGGCCTTTGAAAGGAGTGTGATCTTTAGGAGCTGCTAAGGAAACCTAATACTCAGTCCTCTTCGAGGTGCTATATCCAGAGTTGCCATTTTTTCTTGGTTGTCCATAGGTAGTAATAAATAGCAATGCAAACATTGTGTCTTTAGAACAGTATTTTTTGGGGGAAAAAAAGTTATATAGTGGCAGTAGCTGTTTTAATTAGCTGTATAAGTACTGATATGTACTGTTTCCTGGTTTGGTTTTGGGGGGGGGGGGAGGGTAGGGAATAGCCTTCACTTTAAAAAAGACTTTTACAGGAAACTGCATGTTTTGTGTCTTAAGGGTTATTTTGAAAGCTGCAACATACATAGAAACAGGATAGCAGGTTTTGAAGTGAAAGCATACGCCAATCCTACAGTAGTTCGATGTGAAATCCATCACGGCCAGACTGGAGGAATCTATGTTCATGAAAAAGGAAGAGGACAATTCATAGAGAACAAAATCTATGCAAACAATTTTGCAGGTGTTTGGATTACCTCAAACAGTGACCCAACAATAAGGTATCCTTTTCCTCATTGATATTTTACTACTTAAAAGAAGAGATTTTATGGAGAGGGGAGAAGTGCAATTTTATTTCATTTATTTATAATGAATTGTAAATGCTCCTGTATATATAAAAATGAAATTGCTGTCTGTGTGTGGTTGAACTGCATTTTTAATTTGCATGTATACTTGGAAGTAGGTATTTCTCAAAGCGATAGAACATAAATTCTCCATTTTAAATCTGAATATTGTACAGACCTAGACACTACAGACATGTATAGTATTGTACAGTGTAATAGAATCATTTCATAATGTCGATAATTTTGTTTCTTAGGGGCAATGCAATTTTTAATGGGAATCAAGGTGGTGTTTATATCTTTGGTGATGGAAGAGGCCTTATTGAAGGAAATGACATTTATGGTAAGCTAATTTGCTTATTCCGTCTTGAATTCTGAGAAAAAATAGTATATAAGTTTTATATTAAATAACACTTTTGTTAACAGGTAATGCATTAGCAGGAATACAGATTCGAACAAACAGCTGTCCCATAGTTCGACACAACAAGATTCATGATGGTCAGCATGGCGGAATTTATGTAGTAAGTATTGCCTACAAACATACAAACTTGTTTTCTGTTCATATAAACGTTGGAAAAGGGTGCTCTATGTAAAATGTTTGATTGTACTTAGAATGACTGAATTTCTTACGTTATAAATGAGGTTAATCATAATAGAGTGAAACTGGTGTGGATATTTAAAAGATGAAGGCTTTTATGAATGTCACTAAATTATTTCTATTACAAAGTAAAAAATTTAAAATGAGAGAGATGACAGAATTTCACCACTTCTTGGTTAAAAGCTTTTTAAAGGCTTAGTTTTCATAGTAGTTTGTCATTATTTTTAAATAATATTCTTAGAAATCTGTTCGGCTTTTTTGGAGTGTAATGTGTTTACCACTAACCTCAGAAAATATTTTTTTTCTGCCTTCAGGATGATATACATTGCAATTGCTGTACGGTCGTGTATTGTAAAAGTGAGGAATAAAGCGCAATTTCCAGCGTGTGCAAGGGCTCTGCTAATTGAACTGAAAGAGCTGTCAGGTTCCCTTAAGCAATACAGATATTAAGAAATATTTCTGTATCTTTCTGCCAAAAGTTACCAAAGGTTCAGCTAATGCTGCAAGTGTGCATCTGTTCATTCTGTAAATCTAACCAGAACAGCTTACCCTGACCAAGAATACTGTTGCTTTACTTTAAGCACAAACACATAGTAAGGATAGTTACTTTAAGAGACACACCAATTTTTTGTCAGTTGGTGGAAAGGGCTGGGTGTAGGTTTAAGTGCCAGGTGCCACAGCTTTTGCCTCATTCTGTAGTGTTGGGGAGGTACCTCTTCTACCAACAACTAGCAGAGATTTGCAAATACTACTGCAGAGCCTTGAAATACTATGATTGACATGCAGAGGGTTCTCTGTTTCGTGGCAAACACTCAAAATTAGGATGTAGTGTTATTAAAAAAAAGAAGAAGAAGAAAATATGTACTCAAATAGAAAAGAATTACTTTGCTAAAGTAAAGAAGCCATGTTGGGGAGGGAAAACAGCCAGAAAAATGGTATTGGCAGTTAGCAGGTTTTTTTCAACTCTGAAATTGTCTTGTATTTAGCATGAAAAAGGACAAGGCGTGATTGAGGAAAACGAAGTTTACAGCAATACTTTGGCTGGAGTCTGGGTGACAACAGGGAGCACTCCAGTCCTGAGGAGAAATAGAATACACAGTGGGAAGCAGGTGGGTTTTTCTCTGTGGTTACGAGGGGGCTGTAGAGAAGAAAGTTGTTCTGTGGTTTTATACTTCATTACTTTGGAACTAATAATTTAATTCTCGATGTGTTAGGTTGGAGTTTATTTTTATGACAATGGACACGGCGTGTTAGAAGACAATGACATCTATAATCACATGTACTCAGGGGTTCAGATAAGGTAAAACATATTCTGATTTTATGTCAAAACAGATGTGGCTTGTTTTGTGGGTTTTTGTGTCTTTTTAACTGTTCTTGTCGTTTTGTTTCTAAAAATAACTGCTTTGAAATCAAGTATGTCCAAATATTCTCTGCTTCAATTTTTATAAGAAAGGTATTACTAATACAGCCTGGATATCGACTAGAACGTGTGGCCTGGAAAGTCTGTAAAGCTCAAGTCTGTTTGCGCGTTGGGAAATAACCGGGTTCTAGTGAGATTTTTAAGCAGTGAGATCTATGGGGTAATTCTGTAGAGGCGTTTTAAACGTTTGGCCTTGGTAGATAGTAAACTGCTCTAAATGACTTCTTTGCTTATGTTTCTCTCTAGAACTGGAAGCAACCCCAAAATTAGACGCAACAAGATCTGGGGTGGTCAGAATGGTGGTATTCTTGTCTATAATTCTGGTAGGTTTGTTTTTCACATTTATTCAGAATTGTTTATGTTCTGCAATATTATCTCTTCTCGTTTGTTACCCTTTTTGATTTTTATTTTTTTCCACCCTTCCTTCAACTTTAGGGCTTGGATTTATAGAAGACAATGAAATTTTTGATAATGCAATGGCTGGTGTATGGATTAAAACAGACAGTAATCCTACACTAAGAAGAAATAAAATCCATGATGGAAGAGATGGGGGCATCTGTATATTTAACGGGGGAAGAGGTAGTTTTTTCCCTTACTGGCATATACTGAATATTCTGGATAAGAGTTTAATTTCAGATTAAGCAGTGTCTTTTTTAAAGTGCTCTTCAGAAGCCTAGCTCTTCTGAAGTAATAAAATAGTTTAAATGAACATACACTGATGCTTTTTAGCCTTCATTACATCAGTAATACTGAAATCTGTGGGAGGCAGAGGTAATTAATCTCATCCAAGACGACTGTTAGCTTGCTGCTTAGGACAGTTCTTTTATCCCATTTGCTTTTGTAAGCTTTGCTGTTTGACTGAAAGACCCTGTTGAATTCAAGTCATGTAGCCAGAATCGTGCATCTGAACAGTTCAGGTTCTGCCAATGTCAAAGATTTTTTGGGAAAAAAACCTACACGTATTCAAGGAATCTCTTGTATACTTGTAAATTTAGAAGCGGTCCTCCTCTGAAATCCCCTGACTGTTGTGTGTCCCAATAACAGCTTTTGATATTTTGTAGATAATCACTTGCTGTAGATAAGCTTTAATTTTAAGTGAAGCATTTTAAAGTAATCCTGTCCTGTAATAACAAAAATGCAAGTTAAGCTTTGCTTTGCTGCTTGTTTTAGAAGATAGGAACAGAAATATGTTAGAAAAATTTGGAAAGTGAAAAGACCTAGTGTTTCCTCAAAAATAAAACAGTTTTCTGTAATGGTGCATACCATCCCAAATTCTGTTCTGTATACTGAAAAAATACACATACAGGATTATACGCAGAGAGTGACTTTAAACTTGTGTCACTAACTTCAGTGCTACTGGTGGGCATTCCCCAAATGGAAGGAATTAGCAGGATGATGATACATGAGATCTTTAGAAATTATTTCACAAAATGGTTACAGGTAAGGAAACGTTAACAAGCTCAAATGTCCTGTTTGTTCTGTCATAGGTCTTCTGGAAGAGAATGATATCTTCAAGAATGCCCAAGCTGGTGTTCTTATCAGCACTAATAGCCACCCTGTGCTAAGGAAGAATCGAATATTTGATGGATTTGCTGCAGGTTTGTGGTGTTCAAATTTTGAAGTGTTAGAGCTTAGAGTAAGCTCTTCACGAAGCTAACTCCAAGTTTCTTTACCCACAATATTTAGACATTTTAACAGAGATTGGGATATCCTTCAGAAATCATTTGAGAATTCAGAATTGTAGCCAGGGTATTTTTACAGCAGTATCTGGAATTACTAGCATGTAGAGAAACTGCACATATTCTGCCTTCCCATTTTTCTGTGAAATACTTTTTCATTATGTTATTTTAGAAGTAATCGATAAAGTTATCTAGGACATATTTATAGTTGATCTGCTGGATGCTGGTTTGAATATTTTATCACTGCTTTAAAACCTAGAAAACAGAGCAAAAACACACTTTAAAGAGATTTGAATTGCATCTCAAGTTCAACTTTCTCACTCCACAAACTTGAGGAATTATTACAATGAGCATTTCTTACTCCAAAAGAGATGAAGAATGTTTAGTAGTGATTTTTGTGCAATTTACTGTTTAATGATTGCAGTTCCGTCAGTCTTGTATTCCATTCCATTTCAACTAAAATTGCATTCTTGAGTTTTCTTCCATCTTTCTTTCAGAAGAAGCAAGTTTTCTGAGAAGAGCCTCTAAAGGTGTTGTTTCAGTGTGGTGGGGGGGGAAGGATAGGTGGCTGTCAAGAGCAGTCCTGGACAAATGACTTGGAAGACACGGGTTACTGATAAAAGCTAAGATTTAAAGAAATTAACTTTAGGTGTCTATCTTGAGAACTTTTTAAAAAAGATGTTTTAAAAAGGGTAAGGTATGTGCACAAGAACTTTGGAATATACGTGAAGATGACAGCTTTAAGCACCCAAAAATCATATCCCCCTTGAAAATATGTGGTCATAGTACGATCTTATGATCAGATAAACTCGTAGTGTGTTGTTACTACCAGAAACCATGCATGCCAGCTATAGCTCTTTGAAAGGACTCAACAGAAGTATTTCAACCTCAGTTTTATAGCAAAATTACAGTGCAATTTCTAGCTGTGTCATTTTCCTTTTTTCCCATGAGTTTATGATGGTTTAAAAAAAATAAATGAATAAACTGTAGATCACAAGAGAGGTACAAACATGCAGTCACTAAGGATTTAACTTTCCCGCTTTCTTTTCTCTCCTTTGTTCCCCTGACCCAATAAAGGTATTGAAATAACAAATCATGCAACTGCGACATTAGAAGGCAATCAGATTTTCAACAACCGCTTTGGAGGTTTATTTCTAGCATCTGGTGTCAACGTCACGATGAAAGGTGAGCCTGAGCCCTCCTCCATCATCTGTGTTCACTTTGCATTTTTTCATTTGGTGCTGGGGTTTGGGTTTGTCGTACCGTTTTTTCCATTTTTGGCTCAGGTTTGGTACCACCTTAAGCCAAGTTGTAACTAAGAGTTTGGGCTGAAGGTAATAAGCCAAACTCAGCTATCTTAGATTTTTAGACAGACAGACACTTCCAAAGGTAATTTAAGGTAATTTATCTCAAAATTGTTTCTGAATCAGTTTGTGGTCTTTGGCCCATCTCAAATTCTATTACTCTAACTTAGAATTGGACAGTCTTTTGTCACATATCTGAAAACAAGTGTCCAGTGAGGAAGCATGCCTCACTAGCTTTTAGGATCTAAAAGCATGAATATTCACAATCCCAAGTCACTTTTTTCAGAATATAGGAACAGTTCACATACATAAAATTCCCATGTTTAGTGGGAAAGGGTGCATTAGACAAGATCTTCTTGGGCAAGACTGGAGTTTCAGTTTGAATGCCAGACAAATCCAGGGGGTTATTCTGGAAGAAAAAGGCTCAGTTTGTGGAATTCTTCCCTGCTTGGCTGTACCCATTATGGCTTTCCCTGTATATTCTTTACAGCACTTAAAACAGAAGCTCTGGGTGGCCAGTTCACAGCTCCTGGCCTATTGGCCGCATCAGTCAGCGCTGTGGTGCTACTGGGCGTGGAAAGAACTAGTTTGAGGTGCACTTTGGGGCACAATGGAAGATCCAGTAGCTGAGTAACACAAGAGGTTTATCAAATTCGCTGTGCCTTGGACACAGCTCTTAAGTGCTGGAGGTGGTCAGACCCAGTTCCCACTTCTGCTGCTTTGTTGGAAGGTGCCTTAAACCCCCCTGGGGGAAGAGCCATGCTTTCCTGCTTTCCAAGGGATCTGCCAAAGTCCTTACAGCAAAGTCCTTCTCAGACATTTGGGTGTCAGACTGCTCAACAGAAGGCTTGAGCCCCTGACGGGAAGGCTTGTTTCTCTAACCCATTTATTCACAGAGAGTATGTACGTGGAAGTTTATCAGGTATTTTATGCGATGCGTGCAAAGAGGAGTGGTCTTTCTGGTCTGAGGTGTGCACTGCACTGTCTGGGCATCTGCCATGTAACTTGGCATCGAGGATTTGATCTGCTTAAATGCCAAAAGGACAACGCAGGTGCAGAACTGACTGTTGCTAATAGGTTTAGCAATTAAAAAGGGGGAAGGAAGGGGTGGGGGCCTTTGCTTTAATACCTGAAGGTAGGAAAAAAAAAGTCACTGATCCAGGTGTGATTAGTTCTTGGCCCCCCCAACAGATAACAAAATAATGAACAATCAAGATGCCATAGAAAAAGCTGTCAGTAGAGGCCAGTGTCTATACAAGATATCAAGTTACACCAGCTATCCGATGCATGACTTCTACAGGTAATGGGTTCTTCTCTGTCACTTAAAGTTTTCAAATAAACAGTTTCTCTTCTAGCAAGACCCCTAAACAGGTTGCCATTTGTCTGTTAACACACACAAATGTGTGCTCTTCCTTAACTGCAACAGAGGAGGGTTAAACAAGTTCCTGTTGTCTTGAATTTGCTGTGGGCTTGAGGAGAACGTATTGTCACAGCGAACCTGAGCCTAAGGGGTTACACAGCAGAACTGCTTTGTGGAAACAAGCAGCAGAAAGCACGTGTGACATCCAAGCTCACGTGAATCTCGAGTTTTACAGGCGGACGCGCAGCCGCACTGTGGTGCTGTTCAGCCCCCGCACCCTCCCCGAGCGCTTTACTCAGCTCACCAGTTTTCAGTCCCTGTCTAACATGATGTGTTTTGCTTCAGATGTCACACCTGTAACACCACAGACCGTAACGCCATCTGTGTGAACTGCATTAAGAAGTGCCATCAAGGACATGACGTAGAATTCATTAGGCACGATAGGTACGTTTCAAATGAGTACGTTGGGCAATTTCAACAAGGCAAGTGAAGCGGAAACTGAAGAGCTCTTTCTCTCTCTCTTCCCCTAGGTTTTTCTGTGACTGTGGTGCTGGAACACTGTCTAATCCCTGTACGCTTGCTGGAGAGCCTACACATGATACAGATACACTATATGACTCTGCTCCACCTATAGAATCTAATACATTGCAGCACAACTGAATTCCTTTCAGAAAGAAAGTCCTGCCATTCTGATATCGTAACTGTTAAAACTTTTTTTTTGGAGGAAGTTATACTTGCCCATTTCTGCAGAAAGAGACTGTATTAAAGCGGATGTGTGAGGTGTTGACACTATGGAGCTCAACCTACCAAAAAAGAAAGTGGCAATATGTTGACTCAGGATAACAGAACTGGGCGTTTTAGCATTACTGTGTAAACAAAGACTTTGAAGGGACAGAAGTGAAGAAAAATAAGCTGCAATTTTGTACAGATACCAACTTCTGAAAGCTGGTGTTTTTACAAGTAGCATTGAAACGCAGTCCAATTTGCAGTAGTACTATTCTGTAGACAAGCAGCATTCTTTGTTGCTGCCTTTATGGACATGGGTACCAATTGCTTTTGTAACATGGTAAAAAAAAAATGTGAGCTAGCACTTCTGCATTTCTTTTGATTTTTTAACATTTATTCAGATTGAGAAATATGATTTTAATGCTTTAATCTCATGTAGTTTGTTTCTAATTTCAAGCAAAAAAAACCTTATTGTACTTGAATGTGTCCTGTTTTGTTAGCACACCTAGACTTGCTGTAACTGTACTCATGTCCCAGTATGTACGTTCTTTCTATGAAAGAGAAAACACTAATCTTAAATTATATCCAGCAATTTTTCTGGTGTCCTCTGAAGTTAGAATGATCTCCTTCCCTGCCCCAGCAATAGTCTGTACTCAAACCACCCTAACAACAAAAAAAAAGAAAAAGCAAGTGTTTTAATGAGACTTCCTAGACTATAATGCACTATAAAACAAAGTACCCATGTAACTGAGTTTTGTGAATGAAATTTTACTATGTTTTAAAGTACACGGTAGAAAGTCTCCTCAAAACAGTCTTGTACTTTACTCTGTTCATAGTTTTTTTTGAACAGTCTGGACATTACTTACATAACCTGCTGGAAATCACAGCAATTTCCTGCTCTAATGAAGCTGAGACAAGTATATATACAGCCCTATACAGTTTCATAGCTTTTTTCCATTTATGTGTATTGGTGACAGTGGGTAATCAACAGCCTGAAAGTGTATGCATGTACCATAACATCTAGACTTAATATATTGTGGAGTACTCAATAACCATTATGTAGAGGGTAGATAAGAATTAAAGGGTTTAATTTCCTAGGAAAGACAATGGAAAAATGGTCATTTTTAAAAAATAAAGTTTATTAGATCATAATGTTGTCTGTTACCACCTTTTTGACAAACCGCCAGTACAACACCCCTTGTGTTTGTTACAGATGCTCGAGCATAGCGGTAAGTTTCTGAACAGCATTCGCATCACTCGTTGCGCCATCCACCACCAGGCACAGATACCTAAGGGAAATAAGGTCAGCTTTACCCACTGTGGCACAGAGGGGCAGAGCCCAAGCACCCCCTTACCTGCAGAGCCCCTTCCCGGTGGGCGCGGAGGCTGCCAGCAGTCACTGTGTGCTGGAGACAGAGCGCTGCCGCCCAGCCCTGAGGCCCAGCAGCCATCAGCGCCTGCCTTACCCACATGCCTCTTCCTTCAGTTTGGCTCGGCTCACAGCCGGCAAATGAAGCTCACAGCCCTAGAGACCAGCAGTGACCCATGGCTTAAAATACCGCGTTACTCAGCATATCTGCCACGGTGTAGCCAGGCTGTAGTACTTCCCAAGCAGTGAGGGAGGGAAGTAGATTTGATACTCACAAAAAGAGTTTTAACTTCCCCCTCTGCTGCAAAAGCCGCTGCCCAGATTTTTAAAACGTGCAACTTATAAATGGAAAACCACAGCCTTACCTAAATACTCGCAGTGAAAGGGTTGTTTTTTCAAACTCTCTTGCTTTTCTGTGCCCCTTCTGAATCACTTCCTCTGGAATATTAGCAAGTCTTGCTGCGTTGAAGCCGTAACTCTTTGGACATGCTCCTTCAATGAACTTATACAGGAACGTAATTGTTTCTTGGCTTGGATCTTCGCTCTCATTTTCAACCATACATGCCTAGAAAGTAAGTTACAAGTCAGCGTGCGTAATACTTACCTACAGACTAAGGAATGCATGAAACACTGCATCCTTTTCTCAGGACACCTCTGTGAGTGTGGAGGGAAAGCATGAGACCTGGCAGGCAGGAGGAAATGCCCCGTACCCCAGTGACACAACTCACGCCCTACCCTCTCACCTACCATGTGCCCAAGCCGCACAGCCGCGTTGTGCGCGTAGTCCTCCACCAGCGAATGGTAGTGCGTGGAGAACAGAGTGCGACACTGGATTTTCTCTGCAAGTTCTTTCACAACTGCACTTGCTATGGCCGTTCCATCAAAAGTAGCTGTGCCCCTGCCTGGAGAAGAAATTGAAAAGCAAAGACAGATGCAATGCATTGTTTGCCATGTATCAATTTGTAATGTTGGGTTTTCTCCCTCCCCACTAAGCAGAAGACTCTTAAATGGCAGCAAGTAGCCAGAGCCACCAGTGTGAAGTGACCTGAGCACCTGCCCCACAACAATCGCACTCTTCCGTACTGCAGAAAAAGACGTTGCTGCTCTCCTGAGCCTTGCTCCTGGCTTGCTCAAGTAATTATGCAAAGGGAAAAACAGCCTATTTCTAGCTAATAATGATTAGGAGACGGGAAGGTGGTGTGTTAGTTCCTAGAGCACCTAAACATTTTTTTTAGATATTTACACAGGCACTGACCAGTTAAACATTAGCAGCATTAAGACAGTCACCCCTGTGTACTTGGTTGCCATTTAGACAGTCCAACAGGCAGTCTTTTATCTTAGATTTCATTTCCATCTATTACAAAATAGACTGATTACCCAGTTCATCCACAAGAACAAGGGAATGCTCTGTCGCATGCTGGAGAATGCTGGAGGTCTCACTCAATTCAACAAAGAAGGTACTTTCACCTTTAAAAGACACAAGAGCCACAAAGTATTAGTCAAGGATCTGAAAAGCACCACTGAAACCCCATTTAATCTGCACTCCAGCCGCTGTCAAGCTAAAATGAAGCTTGACAGCAAACTACAAACAAGAAATTAAAGATTTTTTTTCCAGCATGAAAATGGTTGGGTTCCATTTGCCAGAAAAAGCAAGTTTTGGTTCCTTAAGAATACAGGCAGGGGCACAAGTATAAGTGATTAAGTAATATTTAGAGCTCCTTACACTGTCATCTTGTTCTTAAATGCACACAAAATGCATTAAGCCAAAAGTGTGGGGCTTTTCAGTGGGGAAAAAGCAGCGGAAAATCTTAAAAAAGACTGAGACACTAGACTTACTCGTTCTATTGTTGATGTCAATAGGTAATAAACTACGCAGAATTAAGGCTGGACTCATATGTACTCTACTTGAGCGAAGTACGACAGAAGAAATATACTGCTGCTACAGACTGAACATCTTACAGCAGTTCCAGCAACCCTGATAATACAAGGCCTGAAATTTAGACTTGAAATTGTTTTTTAGCAGATTACAAGAAGTACACAATTGTTCAGACCCTTGCATACAATAAGTCCATACGTATAAAGTCCAGATATTGACTAGTTTTTTGTAGGGTTCATCCCAAATAATCACATCCAGCAGCAATTAATGTAGTTTCAGAGCAGGGAAGTATTTACTTCCTGTACTCATGCTGCATGAGCACTGCTGTGCTAAAAAGTTTCTCAACGTGAATTACTAAGCCGTGTCTTGCAATCCTGATTTTCTGCATTTCTCTAAAGAAATTTCCAGGATTGAATGTTTTTCACAATGTTTGGGAACAACCATTTATTCACTTTAGAAAATAAACCCCGAAAGTTACACAGGCAATTTTAAAATGATACTGTTTAAAATTTACTTCATAAAAGCCCTGTTGAAAGCCATTACAAAATTACTGGCATGAAACAACTTTCGCTGCGCTTTCATTTCTACACAGTATGGAAACTAATGTGACAAGAACAGATTTCAAAGCTAGTTCTGCCATACAGCATTCATCTTCATGATGTGAAGTGTTAAAAAATTTGTGCACATATTTGGAAGAGAACAGAACAGCTCTCAGTTGACAGAAAAGAAAAAAAAGTTGAAAATGCTACATTCTTCTAGACCAACTCTCTCTTGCAGAAAGGGCAGGTTTTATTTCTACCATAAGCACTTAAATACTTTTCCATTCTTAAGAGTTCTTTTTGTACTGAAATTACACAAAATGGAAAAGTGCTGGGCGACAAAAGCCTTAATAAAATCCTCTAGCTGCAAAGAAAAGCTTTCATTTGGGGAAGTGTAAATATTTAATTAAGAACTCAGAACGATTCATTTCCAAATTCCTTATGTGCAACAACTTCAGTAGGCTTAACTCCTTTCATATTCACTGACCCACATTTTTCAGCAGAAAGATCACAGAAAATCTGCGCCCTCCTTAAATCAGTTGTGATACTACTCTTCTTACCGCAAAAAATACTTTGTTTTTCTAGCCCTACGACACTCTGCCTACCCCCACAGGCAGACTTTCCTATTCCAGTTGTTATATCATCCTCCCCTTCTGTCTTCCTCTCCGTGGAAGAAACAAAATATTCCAAGAATTGTCAACTACTGCTTCCAAGCATGAAGCCTGCCTCTCTCTTCATTGTCCGAAGAAATCTGATTTCAGACCCAAGGCAGGCATTCTGACTGAAACAAGGGCCTCTCTATACTCGTTGCGAGAAGGTACAACTCCTCTGCCATACCTACCTGAACATCTCTGTCCTATTCCAGAACACTTAGAAAAAGATACCTGTGTAAATAGAACACAACCAACTGTACAATATCCAAAAAGTTATTCCTCAGATTTGCATCCAGATGGAAGGCAGGCTTTGAATATTAAAACTCATTAAAAAGTGATCCTATGTGTCTGTCAAAAATAATATAGGACATGCACATCAAACAAATCGAGCAGAACTACAATCCTGTTTCTACTCTGAACAGTGAGAGACAACAAATTTGTTGCCCAGCTCTCCCTGCAAAACCAACAGACTATCCCTTTCAACTTGCCACTCAAAGCAAGACAAGAAACTCGCTTGGTGGCAAAAGCGCTTTGGACAGCTGGATCTCAGAAACTCACCTGACATAATCCTGTCTGAGGCACCCAGCCTTGTAAATACTCTGTCAATCGGTGTAAGCCTGCAGACTTCAGCAGGTACGTAGCATCCCAGTTGAGCCATTATAACCAGGAGACCAGCCTGCAGAACAAACATTAAAACATTTACATTTTTACTACGTGCTTGGAGCTTCAGCTCCACACAGAGAACGAGGGAATGAAACTATCTCCCCTAAAACAAAGACTAGAGTACATAAAGCTTCCTACTGTTTTAACAGCTCCAGGCTGCAGAATCATAATCTCAAGTAGGACTAAACTACTCCGAAAGCCTTCAAAACACAAGTTATCACAGCAAGCAGTGGTTATAAAGCAAACTCCCTGTTGCTTTCCCAGTTGCTGCCGATCTCTATTTTCATCTCGTTCAACCTGCAGAAGCATCTTTTGCCAGATGACGCCAAGTCCTGGATAAGGCCACTTGGACAAAGATAAAACATACTCCATCGCTTTTTCCCAACCAGCTCTCATAAGAGAAATTAAAACTTATTCCTCACTAACCTAAGTGTAAGTAGAAAATCTACTACCTAAACACGGGCATTTTCCACCAGATTGTATGTAGTCTTTACAGTGGAATTGCGGTACTGTGCTGCACACCTTGAAGACCACTGCGGGGACCTCCTTTGACCTTTATAAACAGTTAAGTCATCTAATTCCTTTACGTAAAACACAGAGGTACTCTGGAACATTCCAGCTCATGTAGATAGTCAATCACCTGTCTCATGAGCGTAGATTTGCCACCCATATTTGGGCCAGTTACTAACACACAGGAAGCTTCACTACCGCCATCTTCATCTTTGCTGCCTATCACAATGTCATTAGGAATGAAATCATCCCCAAAGAACGTTTTCGTAATGCATGGATGACGTGAGTTTTTAAGTTCCAGGAAGGGAGGTGCACTATCCACAGGCAGTAGAATTACAGGTCGGCACAGTGGTCCATCACCATCTTGACTGTAGTTAGCAAGGGACATCAAAACATCTAAAAGATTAAAAGAAATTCCAGTAAGTCACGCTTTCACCTTTCTTTATTAATTTACTGGAGTGCATTTACTCCTTGAATATAATTTTTGGAAACAAAATTTTGCATTTTCATTCCATTTTCCTGGAATGGAATTTTCCTTTCAT